CTCTCCTCTCCTCTCCTCTCCTCTCCTCTCCTCTCCTCTCCTCCCTGACAGTTGCAGCTGTTGCTCCGAAGCCGTAATTCGGCAAGTTCACAGCAAACGCTTTGGTGCGGTTGCGGGAACGGAGCGATGGCACAACGGGCGCCCGGGGCGGAGGCGGCAGCGCTGACACTGTGGGCGCTCCGAACATGCGAGGGCCGTGACAGGAGGAAGGCTGAGTCACCGCAGGGGCAAAAAGCGAGAAAGCAGCGAATCGCAGCTCGCTCCTCGCCGCGGGAGGCTCCCCGCTGCCGTCTCGCGGATACTAACGTCCAACGGGGCGGCCCGAGCCCCCCCCCACCGCGTTCTCCGGATGAATCTCGCAGCCCGGAGTTGCGCAGCCATCCCCGCGCCGCTTCCCGCCCGGCCCGAGGCCCGTCACCGACGGCCCGCATCCGCCGCTCCCGGCGCCGCCCCGCCCTCCCGCCACCCGCGCCCCCTCCCCCGCCCCACAGCACGTGACCCCGCGGGAGGGGGCGCGCGCTGCACCTGTCAGTCAGCGCGTCACTTCCGGCAGCCGCCGCCGCTACCGTTGGGGACCCCCGCCGGTGGAGGCGCGTTCGTGAGACGGAGCGGCTGCGGGGACGGACGGCGCTCGGGGCGGCAGCGTGGCGGCCGCGGCGCACGGCGGCGGCGGGAGACCGAGAGAGGAGGAAGGAGAGGCGGACGAGGCCCGCGAGGAGAGCGGAGCGGCGAGCAGAGGCCCGCGCCGGCCCCCGGGGTAGGAAGAGGCGGAGGAACCTGCCGCTGCCGAGGCCGGCGGGGAGGGCGAGTCACCCGGCAACGGTGAGCGGCCGCGGGGCGCATGCGCGGAGCGGGGGTCGGGGGTCGCGCCTCGGCCGCCGGGCGGGCCCGCCGATCCGCTGCCGGGGCGGTCCGGGCTTCAGGAACCTTCTGGACACTCGCCGAGCTGCGGGAGCCGCCCGCGGGCAGCTGTCAAACGCCGCGCTGCCGCCGGAGAGCGCCCGGGCGGTGCTGGCGGCCGGAACGCCGGGCTGGCGGGGCGCGGGTCCCAGCTGGCGAGGTGCCGCTGTGAGTGCGCTGATCGCGCAGCCCGGCTCCCCCGCGGGCGCCCGTTCCATTGTTCTCGGGAGCTCCGCAGGCTGTGCGGATGCTTCTCGCCGTCTGAGGGCTGCTTCCCGTGAGGCGCTCCTGTGCTGGGGCGCTTCTTCCGTTCGAGTGCTGCGGCTTCGAACCAAACCTGCCTTGCTTTTGAGCTCCTTGGTCTTCTGCCCCCTTAAGTCATAGAATCACAGGATGCTTGGGTTGGAGGGCACCTTGAGTCCATCCGGTTGTCTCCTGCCAGACCGGGCTGCCCCGGGCCCCGTTCGACCTGGCCTTGGGCACATCCACAGCTGGGGCGCTGCACTCTCTGGGCATCAGTGCCTGCACCTCGCTGCCCTCTGAGTGAAGAATTTCTTCCTAAGACCATCCTCCATTCTCCTATCGTTATCAGCTCGTGTAAAAAGTCAGTCCTCTTCATGCTTGTAAGCTCCTTTCAAGCACTGGAAATCCACAGTGAGGTCTTCCTGGTGCCCTCTGTGCATTAACCACTGTCAGGCTCAAGGCAGAGAAAAGAGAAAGAAGGAAGAGAGTCGCAACCGACAGTTCTCTCATCTCCAGCCTTGCCCCCTTTGAAAACAAAAACCGAAACTGATTGTATCCAAACCCACGCTTTTTGGAGGGCTTGTAATCCTGAGTGTCTTCAAGGGCAGAATGGTTAGTATGTGACTCTGAATAAGTTGGTCACTCAGGTTAGCATTTAGGTTAGAAGCTTTTCCGTCTTTTATGCGATGCAGTCTTCTAGCAGAGAAGAGGAAGGGAAAAGGCAGCATTACAAGAAGATGAGCTGTTGGTCCCTTTGTGTTGTGTATCCTGTATTTTGTTTAACTGCTCATTATGAGTAATTTGCTTTTTAATCACTTTTCAATCTGCATTTTCTGTATTTTGTGTGCTGCCCCACACCAGAGGCCCCTTCCTGGTCTTTGCAACATTACAGTGTTGAAATTAAATACCTCATTGTTGTGATAGCATTTTACTGGACAGTTAAAACATTATTTAAGGAAGATCAGTCAAGTAGGGTGTTCTATGTTTATGTTCAAAGAAGTTGCCTGAGAAGAGCTCCTGATTATTTATATTGCCTGCAAATTCTGATACAAACAGTGCCCCACTCCTGAGTTAGGAAAATGATAGTTTTGGTCCCCAAACTCTTACACAGTTGGAAGTCTTCTGCACTTGCTGTTAGTAACGTTGCAGGACCCAATAACAGCTTGTTAAAAGAATGGATATAATGTTTGTCTTGTATGGCTCATGACATGAGAGTTGTGCAAGCAGTAAAGCTTCTCTTTCTAACGTACAGAACAGCATGTTTGCAGAAGCAGGCGAGGCTGGTGAAATGTTCCATACGTTTTGAGCAGGTATTGACGAGTTTTGGGAACGCCTGTGCTCTGTTTGGAGGTTTTCTTTGCTGCTTTTTCTAATATTCAACCTTCTGATCTCTGGTCAAATGTTCATAGCTCAGCAGTGATGCACTCCTGTGGGGCTCATTAGAAAGTCAGTAAAACTTTCCAGGTCTGAGGTGGTGCTTTCTGTTGTTTTCTTTTTTCCTTCTCTAAAAGAAGCAGCAGCTCTAAGGAAGAGGAAGTGAGGCTGGTGAGAGAATGCCTTTAAGTTGGCCTTCAGTTCTGTGCATAACACCACATTATCTTTGCTGCCATGTGAGCACACAAAACAAAAGTCCAGTAGCCATTGGGAGCACGGTGGGTTACTTTTGGCGAGGCATTCGGTGTTTGAATTTATAAGAGTGGAAGACTGTAAGCCTTCCAGCTGTTTCTTGTATTGGTACTCAGTTATGTGGAAAAGTCTGAGCAAGAATTAGAGAATTGAAGGAAATGTGTCTTCAGATTATCCTCTTTGAGGAATGTGAGATTTGTTACTTGTAACACAGTTTTTTATATGACTGTTACACACTGTTTTCAGCAGAGTGGCCATACATCTCATGCCTTCTGCCTCAATAGAACTCTGACAGTCCATGAAAGCTTTGCAGTGCTCCTTGAAGAGTAAAATGGGGCAGTTCGTTGCTGAGTCTCTTGCTGACTGCATTATTTTTCTGTAAGTTGTAAAGTTTACCTGCAAAAAAAGCTTTATTTGAGAATAACGACAGCTGTCTGCTTCAGCAAACTTGGGTTTGGCTCTAGTTCTGTACTGACTTCCCAGCCAGCTGGTGGGGTTTGGAAGAGCTCAGTCAGTTTGGATAAAATCAGTGTTCTGAAAAATAATGTGACTTTAATTGCACCTTCAGGTACGTGTTCTTGTTTTCTATTTGTAGAACCGTTGTCATTTGAAGCCTTAAAAAGCAGAGCTCAGATGGTGAGTGCTGTGCTGAGAACCTGCTGTGTGGGGTGGGGTCGCTCAGTGCTAGGAATGGATGCTGTGTGAAGCTGGGTCTGAGCCCTATTCTGACTGCAGTGGATTGAATAGTCCCATTATGACAGTGGTGAACAACTCGGCTCTTATGGTCTCTCACCTGTGAATGTGTGAAACGACCTTTCATTGAATTTATTTGTCCCAGTTTTCTTCTTTTAAGACAACGCTGAGCTTAAAGGAAGATGCTGCATTATGGCTGTGTTCAAACAGCTTGTAACCAAGGCAGTGGCTGAACTCATGTAGCAGAGTGCCTGGCTTTCTTCTTTTTCTGGGAGGTGCAGAAGATGTGCATTCCCACCTGTGGTGTTGGTTGGGGTGCTGGGCTGGGGCCACCATAGAGCAGAGCAGGGTGGGTTCCAACCCTGTGAGCTGCTCTCTGTTTGCGTCTCTTGTGTTCTGCCTCCCCTGCAGCGTGTTGCAGTTTGTGCTGGGCTGGATGGGCTGATAACACCTGGACAAAACTGGAAAATGAGACCTAGATTCCTATTAATGTGGCTCTTTCTCCCTGTGTGCTCTTTCTGAGTCTGTTGGAAGATTCTTTTTTTCTTTTTTTTTTGTTGTCCTCATCCCCTTTGTGGCTGAACTTCACTTTTAATGTCATCAGGTGACTTTATTTAGTTTTGCTCTGCAGCACGTCTTCTAACCTTGTGATTTCTGTGACATCTTTAAATACAAGTTACAAGAGGCGTTGGTTGTCCTTTATGAAGCATTAACAGTTGTGTATCCCCCCCGACAGCTCAAACAGTCATTGCTGCAGAATGGAGCTCTTCATTGGAACGCCTTCCTCCCCCAGCAGAGATGCTGAGGCTGTCCTTTATTTTGATGGCACGTGGTTGTGGTTATGACAGAGGCAGTGTTTCTGTAGCAAATGGGCTTTGTATTACATTTTGTAATGTATTGAGTTCCAAAGCTTGTTTCTGCTTACCTATTTGGGAGGGGAAGCAACAATGATGATTTTAGGTGTAACAGGATAACTTATGTATAATAAATCAGCTGCATTATATATTTATAGTTTGGGTTTTTTTGGTGTCTCTGTGGTAGTTTGACTTCTGTCCCAAAGCCTGTCGTTACAGCAGTGATAATTGTTCAGCTCCTTTGGTTTTTAACGTGACCTTCTCTTGTTGCATAGTTCTGCTGGTAACTTCTTCCTGTGTTACCTTACTGTGCTGCTCTGAAGTTCTGCATTGTCTGACGTGAGCATATGTGAGTGGAGTAAGCCTGGCTTTGGGGGCAGGTGGGTAGGATGAATATCATGAGCTGTTGCACAAGATACAAAAGCCTTTTTATTTATTAACTGCTGCTGTTAAGAATGTGATGGGATCTGTGTGAGCAGGGAGATTCTTTAGAATTCTGCAGTGTGCATTGGCAGCAGCAGCTGAGAGCAAATCTGGCAGCGGGTATCGTGCAGCAAGCAGGAAGAGCTGCTTTTTGCTGGTACCTGATATCCAGGATTGGTTTTGTGTGTGAAAATATCATTGGAGAAGGATCAGGAATTGCTGTTATGCAGCTAAGAAGCCTTCGGGTTTTGTCTGGTAGTGATAGATTATGCTGTATCTGTGTATCAGCACTGTGGGAAGTCAGTAATCGGTGATCTCTGCTTTCTCTTTCAAAAATGTAAACTTCTTTTGACTCTTGCTTAAATTGGTCACTGTGTGCTGTGCTTTATTAATGCCAACTGTTTCATTTGCAGCTTAAAGTCTGAAGTTTCTTAGGTTTCCTTCCTATTTGTTGTATTCAGTCCAGCTATTGCTTGTCCCTGTTTCCAGACACTGGGCTGTGCCTCTCCAGAAGATCCATATTGATGATGGGCTTTTTTAGAGGCAGTGTGGTCCTGTTCTGTCTGCTGAAATTGCAGATTAAAATTTAATGAATTTTAATACAAATCAGTGCTTGGCTTCATAACTTGTGAATTTTAAAAATGAACTCCAACATTCATTTGTTTTATTAATATCTCCTTTAGAAGAGCTTTCATGAATTGCCTCCTTGACCCCCTTCCGTAGTCAGGACGTATGGATGGAATCTGAGCAGTTCTGATTTGTGTATTAGAGGAGCTGCTCCTGTATTTCCAGGAAACAAAAACTGCATTGCAGTTGCATTTTATTGAATCTGATGTAACATTTTTTTGCGCCCTTACTTGTGTTGGCAATATAACAAGTGTTTTCAGAGGCCATCTCAGAAGTGCTGGTGCCAGATGATGCTGAAATTCAGATCGTTTTGTTGAGGTTTTGTGTGTATGTGTGAAGGCACAGGCATGGATGTGATGAGTTTATTAATTAAAACAGTGGCGTTGCTTCTGCTGGGTGCTTTTGTGATTGTGTGCAACACGCCTGGTCCCTTCTGGCTGCCATTTAAGCAGAAAGCAGCCGTGTCTGCGGGGAGATAACTGCACCAAGAGGAGCAGGGAGATCTCATCTGCTGGACAAGATGGCTATTTGCACAGGCTTTCCTCCAGCACTGCAAGTTGGATTCTCCAGCTACACTTGTTTTAAAACCATTGTGCCAACAGGGGCATGGAAACGATGTTGCACAGAATGCTGTCCTGCTGAGCTGGGTGAGCCCACTTGTCTGCTTGTTGATTTCCTGACTAAAATGCCACTCGAGCTGATGGGGCTGATGGTCCAGAAGAGGAAATCTTGCTTTAAGAATCTGTTTTAACCTGATCTTCCTGGTTGTAAAGCATTTCAAGTAACTTCTGAGTTTCAAATATGCTAAGCGTTTTAATGTAGCTTTAAAGCAGGAAGCTCTTTTTCTGCAGAGGTTATTCTGTATCTATTTATACTCAAGCACTTACACAGCTCTCAACGTGCTTTGAGCTGCGCTCTTGAGACAAGTGGTGTTTGTCCTTTTTTGTGTCCTGAGATGGTGGCCCTTCTGTTTGTTTGTCTAAAGCTTGTTTTTCTTTGCTTTCCTCTCTTCCCCAAGCTGTTCCTCCTGCCTCCACCTGACATCGTTTCAGCTTTGGCAGAGTTAATTCAAATGAGCAAAGGGTTCTATTTGAACTTGTTAGCTGAGCAGCATCCGAGTAGAACGCAAGCTCTTCTGCCCCCAGACGTTTTGTCCTTTGGGAATGCCAACAAATATGAATGTATAAGTGGCAGAGATCATCAGTTGGTGTCATTGTGGCACTGAGGAAAAATGTTATCAGTTTCCTTTTGTCTTGATAAAACTAAGAGCAAGGGGCAGAGTGCTGGGGCTGTGCTCAGCTATAGGGCAGCCTTGTAGAACAGCAGATCTGCAGTCGCTCTTGGCTTCGTTTTTTGTTTTTCAGATGCTGTGAAGTGCTTGATAAAGAAATAAAGCAACTGAAGAATGGCTGGCATAGCTGACATTTGTGGCACAAACTCTAAATGCAGAATGGATGTTTTCATTCCTGTAGCACAGTTTCAGTTTCTGGCATTCTTTGTAGTGTGTTTTTACTTCTACTTCTTGTTTTTCATTCCCTTACTTTAAGGAAAGTTGGAGGGGCTTTCAGTTAAAATGACACCTGGTCGTCTGTATTTCAGCCAGAGATGTAAAAGCTGAACCAAATTTAAACCTGAACTTGCATGCATATTGCTCAAATATTGAGGGTTAGCCACGTACGCTGTGTTTTCCTTAGTGGCATTTCATGTGTGGGTGTGAATACTTCTTCACTTGCCAAGATAAGTGAATGCTGTTATGATGGCAAAATGAGGCTCTTTGTGCTGTTTTCCCAGCAGACTCTGTGAAGTACTTACTTAATTAAAAAAAAGTATATTTTAAAATATAAAACAGATGATAGTATACAATACAGAACGAAACTGCCTTCCTCTCATACTTCAGCTGTTTAAGCTCAAGGTGTTGCATGGAGATGTGCTCTTTTAAACTGCTGGAATAGTGGTAACAAGGAGGGCTGTTCTTAGTTTGCTGTAGAACATTATTGTGAGCTGTGGGTAGCTGTGTGCATCTGCAGAGCTAAAGGGAGGGAGGCTGGGAGAGGTGCAACCAAAATATTTATAATCGAGCACAAAGCAGTTGGGTTTTATATCTTTTTATCCTGTTTTTGTATCACTGTGTTTCTTGTGAACTTTCTGTGGACTTGTGAAGCGTGTAGGTTGTGACCTGGGGGAAAGCACTTATCCAGACAGCTGGGTTATGTGCAGGAGTATTGGAATGGATCAGCTTCTGGTTGCTGAAATGCTTGGTCATGGTACTTAAAAGGAAAAAATGAAAGGGCTCAGTATTGCCTGGTAGTTGTAGAGGCTCCATACGGACTCTAAGTACTGAAGGGCTGAAATCATACCCTACTTGTTAGACTTCTCTTCATGGAATGTACATCCTGATTCAAAGCATGTTAATATTAAAAAAAGTGTATTTAATTATTGACAGTGTTTGAGCCTGTCTTTCATTTGTAGAATGGTGGAAATAAAAGGCGAGAGAATGTAATGACAATCAGCTTAACTTTTGCTTTTTAAATGTCTCACTTTTTCTAAAGGCAGTGAATCTCAAATATTGCAGCCAAAGCCAAACACGCTGAAAAGAAAGCAGTGCCCATGGTCTGCTCAGTGAGCACGTGTGAGGGTGGAAGTCGGGCTCTCCCTTGTTCATCTGGGTGATGATGAGCTGAATACAACTTGGTTTGAAGTATAAACTTGGCTTGTAAATCTGGTTTTGCTCTAAAAAGTGACATATCCAGGCTGTTTGAACTTCACTGTTACACTGCCAAGCTAAAGTAAAGTCTTTAATTTTTCTTTCTTCTCCGTGTCTCCTGAATGAAATTGCTACCTGGGAAGCCTGTCAGTGCTGTGCACCTGGGGAGAAATGGCTGATGTTTCTGTGCTGAGCACAGCTCTTGGTATGAGAGCTGCAGCTCGGCGCTGTGGTATAACAGAGCGGTTTCTTCTAATTTGCTCTTTTTATTAGGTGCTGTTGGTTTTGAGGCTTTGTTTGTTTGTTTGTTTTAGCGAGGCAGCCTGAAGCATTGTGGCACATCCATCAAAGGTTTTCCCAGCTGCCATTAACCCTGCAGCTGGGCTAATCCTGGCTAACAGAGCCATCCTGGCTCGTTGTGGGCAGACTCACCTGGGGAGAATGTGAGAACAGTGAGTGGCTCCAGCTCCGTGTTTTACAACTCACACAATGCCTGGGGATTGATTAAAATCTACTGCTGTGCCGAGGTTATGCTGACTAACACTTAATACACCCAGAAGAAGAATGGCTGGGCAGCGTCTTCATGAAATATAACAGAGTCATGAAATGAAACTCGTTCAATGCTGAAGTCTGTCGGCATCCTATAGTAGCCAAGAACACCCAGTGACAGATTGGAAGATGATTGGTGACAATAGTGAAGCTTGTTGACTGGAACATCACTCTTCATTTTCTGTTGTCAGCACAGCTGGAGTCTGGATCTCAGGCCAGGATCCATGTATGTAAGGCGTATAACAGATTTACAACCTTTGCATAATGTGGGATGATGGAGATGACAACAGGGGATGATTTTGGTCAGTTCTGCTTGCTTTGATAAGCAAAGATTTCCAAACCTATAGGCCTTACTGCAAGAACTGTTGAGGATGGTGGTGAAGTAGTCTTACATGGCAAACACCTCCAAAAGATGGATGTAATCTGGGGAGGATTGGGAGCAGGAAAGTGTTACTCAAAAATAAGAATAGGAGGGAAACTGGATTCTTAATGGTTGGACTTGGCGTTTTTGTGCTGAAATGAGAGCAGCCAGTTGTAAGAACTTTGAAGGGGAAGATGAAATTAATTTGTTCTGATGTGGATTATAAGCAGAGCCAATGTGGGGGAATGAAAAGAGGGAGGGTACCTCTAAAAAGTCAGCCAGCTGAATTCCTGTACTGATCTTAGAGTTTGAAACTGTAAGGTTTCACTGCATGTATTTTAAAGGTAGAGAAGGGCATTTTTCCCTTAAAGACAGGGGAGGGCAGGTAGTGAATCTGATAGAAAAGACCTGTGCTGATGAAAATTGGCTTAGGTTTGAAGTCAGTGTGTTAAACCAGTGCTTAGCTATTAAATGTTTTGTTATGGTAAGTACTTTAAAACATACCTGTCAGAGTCAAACCTACTTAGGCAAAGAATGAATGAGTCTGGAAAACACAGAATTTCATTTCATAATTGTTACGACCAAGATGTTCCATGCTAACTTTAAAGCAGAAGTTGGCTAACTCCTAAATGAAGAAGGGGGACTTGCTTTCTGCGTCCTCTCGCATGACACGTACTAATTGTGCTCGTTGTGTTTTTATGTTCAGAGCAAGAGACTGTTGATTTGGTGAGGAGAATTCCTCAGATGTGCTGTTTAGACTTGTAATTGAGTTTAAAACTGTTGAAAACGTTACAGTCTAATCATGATTTCCTTCTTTTCAGATTAACTGCTGAAGTACTGATAGAGTTCTGCTATTCTTCAATGAGGAACTACAGGCTGATCTTTTGCCATAATCTTAAACAACCATAAATGACAAAAGAATGCTTGGTCAGTGAGGGCAGCTGGCGCAGAAAACACTTTTCAAACTCGGCTGTTTAAGTACTCTGAGGTATGTTTCTTCAACTATTTCACTCAGACTTTTCTTTAAATACTGACCTGAGTTGTGCTAATATATCAGAGTTTATCAGTCCATTAGCGAAGGGTTTAGTTGCTTTGTCTAACAGCACGTGCTTCATATTCTATCTACCAGAAAATGTTCACTTGCATTTAAACAGGTATGTTGTTCACTTATTTTGGAAGAGCATTTTATTTCCTTTGCTATTATTCTTCGTTTTGAGAGGATAGCAGTTTAACTGAGTAACTTATGCTGCCTTTGGTAATGCTTTTATCTATCTGTGCTCTGTATCAAGCAAAAACTTGCAAGTAGTGCTTGAGCTTCAGCATGATGAGGAGAATTTTATCACTGAGCATCTGGAAACTTTTTTTTTCCATTCAGTAAAATTTTGAATTTGATACAGGTGTTGAAAATGTCATTGTGTAGATCAGAAAATGCCAAATGTACGAGATGCTGATTGCATCTGGTTTTGTATCACCAAATATTTACATCTCGCATCACTTAACACTGGGGTTTCGGTTTGGAATTATCCACTATTTTCGTTTCCTCTTGAGTGTCTTTTGAGAGTCATTTTCAAAGCCTGACTGATAAATACAGTCAATATGGTGAATGACCTGGCTCTCCAAAGGTATGATAGAAGATTAACTTCTTTTGCTGCTGCATTCTTGTCAGTGCTCTGCTGAGAACTGATCAGAACACGTCATCAGTTGTGACTCATCTGGTTACCTGGATTTGGAGTCATTACAGAACTTTTCATTATATGGGTGCCCAGACTGAGAGAAACTGGAGTGTGTTTGCATTTGATAATTAAAATGCACTGTTAGAGATCAGTGCACTCAACGCTGTACAATGAAGTATGACTTCAGTTATGATTCTTCTTCTTTGACAGAAAAGACAGCTTTGATTTTTGGCTGCAAAAAGATATGAGGAAGAGCTCCTCCCCTTCCTTGAGTAACTGCAACTCTGTTCTTGCTAACAAAATATTTGGAATTCCACTTGATGAGCTGCAGCAAGAAGGGCAACCAGACAATGAGGTTCCATTCATAGTCCGCCATGTAGTGGACTATATTGAGGAACATGGTATGTATTATCTTGATGTGTTTTAAATAATATACTCATCTGTCACTTCTGCAAAATAGACTGGTTTTGACTAGTGTTTATTTTTAGTTACTTGTCTTTAATTGGCTGTGGTTCCTTCTGTGTGCTTTTCTTTTAGTGATACACCTTTTCGGTATTGTTTGATTACCACTGTGTTCTGGAGGATATGAAGGGCAATTACACCAGTAGGGAACTTTAGCAGTGCCAAAACTACACCATTTCCAGTAATGTTTACCTTATTATTGTATTAGCTGGACATAAGAATGTGTTTAGGAGAGGTTTGTCCAACTGTGGTCATGACAATCTTTAATTCAGTGTGCAAGTTGTACATATCTGATTGTCAGTAGTTTCTGATAGTTCTATCCATACCAAATCTTAAAACTTATTTTTGCTGCTTCCTTCTAACTCAGGGGGTCTGGAACAAGAAGGACTTTTTCAAGTCAATGGGAACGCTGAGACAGTGGAGTGGCTTCGGCAACGGTATGATAATGGAGAAGATGTGGACCTGGTTAAAGAAGCAGATGTACCCTCAGCTATCAGTCTTCTTAGATTTTTTCTTCAGGAACTTCCAGAGCCAGTTATCCCAGGCAGTTTGCACATACATTTGATGCAACTTTCTCAAGGTAAAAACTGCTTTTGATGGAGGTATTTATTTTTAAGAGACAAGGCCACTATTAAATTCGTACGTGTTTTTGTCTGGGTGTTGGAGTTCATAACTTGACTAGTGAGAGTGTCTTGTGGTGCTTTGCTAATGAACCAACCTCAAAAGGTAGCTGTGCCAGTTTCCATGCTCTTTGACATCACAATCCACAGGAGTTCTGTTCATCTCTTTTTGTTGGTTCGTACTCCTTTTCAAGCGCTCGGCTTTGTTTTCCTTAATAAGAGTCATGGCTCTGATTTGCTGTTGAGTTTCTGTTGGTACCATTTCTTCAGGGCAGGATTTACGTCGCGTTTAGGAAGTGCTGAACCATGGGATCACGTGCAGCAGTGTGAAGCTGCTTCTGCATGATTTTGGAGCTTTAAGCACTGGCTGGTTATCTGGGTAATTGGTGAGCAGAGGCTGAGCGCTGATGCCTTTCCTATAAGGCACTGAATAGTTTTCTGCAGGAAACAATATTTGAAAGCTTCTGTCCAGAGAAGCGTGTTAAAACCTGAAGTTCTGCTTTGTGTATTTGTTGTGTGCAGTAGTGAGAAACTGAAGTGGATGCCAGTGGATGAAATCTCATTAGTGGCACGTTTGCTATTTCATTTCACATTGCTGAAGTCCTAGTTCACTGGGTAGCTCGTGAACTTTTTTTCCCCTTCTTTCTTGAAAAAGATGATAAATAAAAAGATTTTCAACAGGGTAATGCAGAAAGCTGTTAGATGCTCTTTTGTCAGCTAATGCTGCTATGCACTGTGATTTGCAGTGTTACTTACCAGGACTGGAAATGAGGTTGTGGTAGACTCCTGTGATGTGACAGTAAATTTCCTTCTTTCATTTGTAAGCTACAGTGTGGAACCCATGGTCTCCCCCACCTTTTGAATAGATGCCAGTGGAAGGATTTGAATGTGGCTTTTTTTTGGGGGGGGAAAGACTCGCACAGCAGTAATTCCCACAGATTTCCCATTGGTTAAAATTGTAGAGAAACTCTGTATTTCAATTCAAGTGTCAGCTAACTGTCTATACTGCTTTTTTTTTTTTTTTTTTTTTTTTTTAAGTGTAAAACAAAGCCATTTCAGAAAGCTTAAATGTGCCTGTTTTGATTTCCTTGGTGCAGGTGAACCCTTAAATGTTGTTTCCTGATATTATAATTAGAGGTTTGGTTTCCTTTTTGATTTTTTTTTTTTTTTTTGATACTTTCACTGTCTGGTAGTCATAGAGCTCTGCTTTAGGTAGAAGAACTGCTTATAGAAATGCACAGAGTTTTAGGAGTTTTTGTAACATACCATAAATAGGGTATGGATGTGTCTTTGGAGGATCTGTATTGTTTGGTAAGCTAAGATTAACCTAACAGCTCAGTGAAACTTTGGGTTTTGGGGTAGTTCTTTCTGAGAGAAACAGAGCACAAAAATCTCAGTCTCGGGACAAATGTAACTCAATTTCTGACAACTTTATAGACTGTGAACTGGCCAAAGGACAGCAATTACTTCTGGAGTAGAAGCACAAGTCAAGAGGTTGATTATCTTCTTTTCTGCATTATGTTATCTTAATTTTGTGAATTAAATATTTTTTATTATGTTTTCCAGATTATAATAATGAAGATGAATTTGGAAGAAAGTTGAGGTTCCTCTTGCAGCAGCTTCCACCTGTTAATTACAGCTTGTTAAAGTTTCTGTGTAAATTTTTAGCCAATGTAGCATCGCATCATGAAGAAATTTGGTCAGCAAGTTCTTTGGCTGCAGTCTTTGGCCCAGATGTTTTTCAGTAAGTGGATTATAAAGGTTTATGCGATGCTTTTATGTGAATCTGGTGGTGGAGAACTGTAATCCAGAGCCTCTCCTAGTCCCTGTGTAATTGCAGCACGTATGCTGGATGCTTTGTGCAGTGTCTTTCTGTGCTTCCCCTCTGCCACCTGTTGCAAAATTTTTGCTTGGATCTAAACCACGGGTTTGGTTGCCATATTATTGTTATTTCTTTGAGGTTCAGTTTTTTCTTTATTTATTACTATTAGCAGCAAAAAAAAAAAAAAAAAAAAAAAAAGAAATCTGGAAGGAAGCTGTCAAATAACAACATATCCTGGTATTTCCTTTCAACAGGGAAATTTTTGAGTTGTAATCCTCCCTCATGAACAGTTAATTAACTAATTAGTTGTTTCATCATCACTCAGAAGTATAAAGTACTATAAAGTTCTACAATGCAGTGGTGTGAAGGTATACTTGAAATTGGGTGCTCAGAATGGCGTAGGGATAATGCTGTGAAGTGCAGTCATTTGCAATGGAAGCCATTTGCAGAAGCTTTGGGGATTAGTTGGATTTAAATTTTTCCTCTAAAACGATATTGAAATGTTTAGCATTTACACAGATGTGGAGGATCTGAAGGAACAAGAAATAGTTAGCAGAATAATGGCGGGACTTCTGGAGAACTACTATGAATTCTTTGAAAATGAAGAGGAAGATTTTTCATCGACTAATGATTTAAGCTCAATAACTGAGCAGGTAGGAATATTTTAAGTGGCAATGTTGTATCACTGAAGTATCCGTTATAGCACATATTTATGTAAGATACGTTGAAATATAATACACCTTTTGGTAGTTCCTTGCAAACTGACAAAACCTGGTATTTCCTTACGTTGATTTTCTTAATATGGATATATTTGCAAAATTGTTGCTTGGTAGTAAGTATAGCTGTCCACCTAGAAAAGTATATATGGACTGAACCAACAGTAATAGCTTACCCAAGGCAAGTAAGGCAATTAAGCTGGTTGCTTCCTCTTTGCTGCAGGAGACATTTTGTTTGTTCATCCAGACTAGCAAGCGTGGGCAGCCAGTTCTGGGCTGAGCGACTTCTGCTCTGCAGCAAAACGCTGCAGCTTTGCAATGTTTGCTGTCTCTTCAGCTCTCAGCAAGAATATGTCTAGCACTGAAAGCTGACTTAGTCCTGCTGGGTGCAGGAAGCTGCTAAATACGACAGGGCTGTAACTCCTGCAGCCTGAACCAGAGAACTGTTGTCTTAGGTTGGGATGAATGCTCTTTATAGTTGGTTGGCTCTCATGCTTGAGAATTACTGACTTGCTTCTGGTTTGTTATGAATTTTAGCAAAAGCACTTCCCAAGGAGGCTGTGTTTGTGTGCTGTGGTTACATTTTGTTCTTGTGTTTTGTGCTGCTGTGGTTTTGTTTGTTTGTTTTTTCTTGAAATTTTGAGACTTGGCAGTGTCCCCCTTGAATTTCATGGTGTCTCCACCAGATGTCAACAGCACACTTTGCTTGGGTCCTGTTCCCTGCAGGGCCACTGCAAGGCTGAGTGGAGTTAGGGAAGCAGGGTCTCCCTGAGTGCAACCAACTGTGCAGCTGGCTTACCCCTTAGCTCACTGCTACATTCTCTTGCAAGTACAGAAGAAAGGGGTAAAAACATTACATTACATTGCATTATGTAGAACATTTTATGTAAAAGCAAATATTGGATACCTGTTCTTGAGGAATACTGTCCTTTTATAAGTATTCTGTTTTTATCTCTTGTGCTTCTAATTCCCTGGAGCTCTTAAAAGAAATTTACAAGCCATTAATTGTGAATAAATCTTTGTACAGATAAATGATCTCTTGGAAGAGGAGGAAGATATAAAGCTTGAGCAGTCTGAAGAACTTCCAGAGGATGGCACAGAAAAACCTGTTGAGCGGCCAGCTGTGGTGCATCTAGATGTGACAGGGAGCATCTCGGATTCCAGGAGCGTTACAGCATCCACAAGGTAATTGTTTCTTCGTTGGAATGCAGTCTGTTGTGGTGCGTGAGGGAGGAAACCCTCAGACTGTTGTGGTGCCCATGAAGGAGGCTTTCAAAGTAGGTGCAGTTCTTGTAGCAGTAAAATGAGGAATAAAATAACTGCTCCCAAATTCAGCAGAAGAAGGTCTGTGGAACTCAGATTGGGTTATGTAGGATTTGTGCAGAGGAGGAAGGAAAAAGAGCGTATTTTATTGATGCTATAAAGTGGTATTTTCTCAGTAAATTTTCTGTCCTCAGGAACGACATGCATCTTGGACAGAAGCGAGTTTGTGCTTGCCTGTAACGTGCAGCTTTGTTTTATTTGCTTGTAGTAGACAAGTTTTTTTTAAGTCTGCTTTATTTGTACTTACAATTCATGATTTCTGTTTGGGGAATTTTATTTTTTGGCCCTCTGCAGCATTTGTTTTGGTCTGGGCATTGCAGGAAGCACCTAAAAGGGAGGGCTGAGGTGGTAGAAGTCTGATTGAAAGTAGAAGAAGCACAGGGAAATCCAGGAGGGGGGTTAGTGCCTTAGGCTGACAGGTCTCATGACTGCAGGGATTTCTGGTTGAACTCTGTTCAGCTGCTGCACTATGCATTTTCTTCATTGCAGGGATTTTAAAATATAAAATAATTGAGTTAGAAAACAAGAGTCACGTTTAAATTATAATTGTGTCCTTATCAGTGATCCAGCTGCTCAGTTTTAGTTTGACTAAAAAAAAAGCTTCTGGAAACTGGAATTCTGCTAGAGAACTCTGTCTTCCAGTGGAGGTTTTAAAGCAATTTTACTATTCATAGGCATTCAGATGCTTGGGGAATGTGCAAGCGCAGCAGTAGTGATGAACTAAACAAGTTTAGGAGTTGAAAGTCACTAGCCTGAAGAGAAAATCATTTTACAAGATGTTTAGGGTTAATTAAAAATTAATAAGCGTTAATTATGGTTGGCATTTTGCATTATTTGTGGGAAAGCATAAGGAGGAATCCTGCTGAAGAAAAGAGATAATTTTTATTGTGAAACCAGAATAACTGCAGGAAGCATCTGAAAAAAAAAACAAAAAACTGAATGAGGAAATATATTTTATTCAACTTCTGCTGTAAATATTTTGGGGAACTGAGAAGTGTTCAGAACACACATTTAATGGCCTTCTTTGCATTTTACTTTCTTGATTTATTTTATTTTTTGAATAAATATTAATGCAGATTGGTCGGGTGCTTGTCTTGGCATAGGGCATGCAGCAGTTTATAAAGGGAAGAGGAAGGAGAAGTGAGCCTTAAATATGATTCTTAGCATTCCTTAACCTGGAGTTCTGTTTCCTCCTTGCTGTTGTCAGGTTTTGGGAACCAAGGCCTTGTATAGTTCTGATCTCTTTATCCAGAGAAAAGGAAAGGCTGAGGTTGCATGCCCATCATCTGTTCCGATTCCTCCAGCAGGACACACGACCTTCCTTTTAGCTATTTGAGCTACAACTTACAACTTGCCTTGCTACCTCTATTCACTTTTTTTCCACTCATCCTACTTGTTCTTTGTAAAACATGACAGTCGTGAATTGCGTGGTGCTGGTTTCTCTGAGAGAGATGAGGTGAGGATATGGAAAATCATTCATGCAGTTTGATTTGGTGACTGGTATTTGAAGTGAACCTGTTGAGTGATCCTTCAGTCTGTTATGCGGTCGGGGAGCGTTTGTGCACGAGCTGACACGGTGTATGTAAAGGAAACGTGTTCTCCCTTATCAGAAGCCTTTTCAACATGGCTCTGTCAGTTTTTGCTGTCCTTACTTCTGTAGAGAAGAATTCCTGACTCAGCACTGAAGCTGACATAAGATGTGCCGTTGAAATAATCACCCTGGAGTCCTTAGCTGTCAGTGTGCTGAATTTCTCCCTGCTGCTGTTTGCCAGATAACGTTCGGTTTACTCTTTGCTGTTCATCTCAAATATCATCAGTTGCAAGCCTGAGGTGAAATCTCCTTGATGTGTTCTTTGGGCTTTTCAAAATGCTGTGTGTAAAGAGGTGAGATGTGACAAGCAGAAAGGTCTGCGAGCAGTTTGCTTTTGTCTGTATGGAATGTAATGATGAGGGTGAACTCCTCACTACTTCTGTGGTATATAATCCAGTTTTATTTCATTAGTTCAATCCAAGAGAGAAAGGAGAGAAATGGTAACAAAGGAACAAAATTTATATATATTGAGGCCAATTAAATATAACAAATATAACAAGTGCTTGAATTGCTAGAAAATATATTGCAGCTTTTAGCTTAGCTCTCTCTTCAAACATCTAAATACTTTTTCCTATTTCTACCCTGGAAAATATGTGAACAACATGTTAGAAAAGCTTTCAAGTCTTGATTGGGCAGCTTATTGTCAGGAGTGACCTCATGTTGCAGTCTATTTCTATTTAGACTGCAGGGTTTAGTGCAGCACTCCAGAAGTGCTGCCTGACAGGCAGCCATTGAATCCACAGGAGCACTATGCATAACCTACAGCCAACAGCACACTTTGCTCTCTTTCAAATGAAGCATTTTTACATGAAGTGTTCGTTTGGAATAGCAAAAATAATCAGGATGGCCTGTAAAGTCCTGCTGCACAGGTAAATGCATGGAAGGAAAACATTGCTTTGTGAATGCAGATAATGCTTTTTAGCGTTATGCGAGATGAATGTATTCTGGGGATATTGTGAAATGGAATAATGTCAAAATTGCTTTTGTTCTCAATGAGAAATAAGTCTGTGTACTGTCAGTGTATTAGCAAGAAAAGTTTTGAAATGTTTGATCTGTAGATAATGCATTTTTCTATCACAGGATATTTACAAGGACTCTTAATGGGTGCGAAGGGGAGTCTCGGGGGTGGGCTAGCATTGTGAAACAAAAGACTTTACCTTGTGTGTCTTGCTGTGTCATGCTGCATTAAGACTGTGTAGCAGTATAAGTTACAGCTTTTAAACAAATAATCTTGAACTGCTCTTAGTTCCAAAGTTGCAATGTGTTTTCAGCTAAGAGCGATTGACACGTTTCTTGCAAGAAGTGCTTAATTGCTGAAGTGATTAGTTAAAGACATAGGATAATTCTTTACATAGTAAGAGGATTGTTCAGGCTTTGGTATGCTGCTGAGTTCTGCACATCTTTTGCTGAGTACTTCTAACGCATCTAAAGGTGTTTATGAGAAGCACTGGTGAATCATCCTCCGCTGTGGGGCTGAAGGTTATGCAGTAAGATGGAAAATTTTGTTGTCAATCATGCCTGAAATCTTTTGGATTCTTTGGAGATGGGCTTGATTCTCCCCACTCCCGACACAGTTCCTCATTGTCTCAAGTGATAGTGGTAAAACAAAACGATGCCAGGTCATCACAGTTTCCTATAAATAGTTTTTGTACTTGTGCCCTTGACTCAGTTTTTTTGTTCTTTTTCACAACTGCTGTTGCAGTGCTTTGTGTTCTGATTGCCTCTTTTTCCCCTGCTGTGTCCTGGGGAGCAACTGTTTAATAAATGGATCTTTAGTGAATGTATATTAGAACTTTTGAAAAGTAAGCATACCTTTTGTAATGCAGCCCTTACAGAACTTGCTGAAAGTACCCATATCCAATATTTAAGTACATCCGTCTTGTTTTGAAATCTTTTTTTTTTTCCTCTGAAATTTTCTCATTCTCCTCTCTTACCTTGTTCATAGGGCTGAACTTATTCACAGCCTTGCCCCTTCACTTTTTATTTCAAATCATGCTGATGCAGAAGTTTATCAGAAGACTTAAGCACTTTGTACAAGCAGTAGGGCTATGCGGAACTTCTGTGTATGGACACCAATAAAACATGTTCACAACTCGAGACAAACGCCTTACCACTTGTAGGTTTGGAGGAAAATGTGTTAATGTGTTTAAATATCGAGCTGGCAAGCAGGTCCTTTATGGCTTGTGTTGCAGCTACTTAGAAGAAGAAGAAGTAGAAAGTCTGTTTGAGGTGGTCCAATTGTTTCACCTCTCTAGTGGTGGGTATAGAACTGCTGGTGAACTCACTGAGATCTAAGCAAGATACTTCTTGCTGTATTAAAGCTATTCTTAGTTAAGCAGAGAGACCACCAAATGATTTTTTGAGTACAAACAGAGCTAATATCAGCCAGAACCATCTTGCAGAGGTACCTGTTCAGCTCCCAGTGAGGGGGCAGTTTTGCTCTGCTCCCTCATGTATTCGTGAAAATCATTTTTAAAAACCACTGTGGCTGTCAGCAGTGCTGCTATGTGGTAAAAAGTAGATTGTGTTAGGAGGTTCCAAAGTGCTTTACAAGTGGCTAACTCGTCTCTTAAAACCTCTGGAAAGTGCCTGCCTTGTACTTGAAATCTAGCTGTCCTTGGAGAATACTGCAGATCTGTTGAATGTTGCAGAGTGAAATTGTGCGACGGTCTGACAGGCAGGGAAAAGTCCCTATGAACTGCAACAGTGAAGGAAAGCAAAGTACTTTGGAAGTTGCTTGAGGCAGCAAGGTTAAAATCTGCGTTCTTAAGCAAGGTGTCAGGAAGTCTTTTCAGACTAAGCGATTAATATTTCCCATGGGAAAGACCATGCCTCTTACAGCTTCTTAATGGACTGAATATTGGCTCTTGGGAGGCAGAAACCTGCACTGCTGCCTAGACAACTTTGTTTTGTGATGGCGTTCCACTTTGTCTGATGGAGGAATCTTACAGGGACTGTAAATAAGGATTTACTTTGCTTCAGGTTTTTTCAATTTTTATTAGCTTTGCTGCATGTAGTTTTTCAGTATTTTCAAATTTGTTTTCTATTGTTTTTGAGACTTCTATTGAATATGCCAAGTTTTGCATTTCACCAACTTGTTTCTTCTGTATTGCAGTGCTCATATTTCTCCCATAAGCATCTTGCCAGCCTCTGCAGAGTAAGTATAACAACAGTGTATAATGTATGAATTGTGTTGTTGCTATAGCATATATCAGTATATTGTCTTAAAAGAACAAATGCAGTAGGTTTGATGATGAGTTATGAGTGAAACATATTGCAGAAAAACTTAACATGCCATCAGTGTTGACTGCAGAAGCATGAGAGTGCAGTGTGGTAAAATTTAGATTCCAAATCCCTTTGTTTTTATAATTATATATTTCCTTTGGCTTTATAATTGTTTTCACAATGTGTTTTCAGCACCAACTTTGTTTATAGTACAGTTCTGAAGAATTGCATGCGCAGATGTGGAGGAAAATTAAAACACAATTTTATAGCCCTAATTTTAATTTGCTTTGGATAATCTGGCTAAAAAGTACACTTGGTACATTGTGCTTTTAGAGAACGTTCTGTTGCTGACATACCTGCAGGTATACCCTGTGTCCTTCATCAGGTACAGGCTTAATGTCTCCACTGTTTGTTGGATCTTGCCTTTTACAATTGCAGTCCTGTTCAAGAGGTGCTACAGCCAACTGTGCTGAGGTGATACATGCTCCATGGTTGGCTCTGACCTGCTATAGGTGCAGGATTTGCTTGTTGCATACTTGTGTTTAGGTTTTGTACAGTTTGGGGTATCGTGTTTTGGTTTTCTTGTTAACTGTAGTCATGGTAACCTGTTCCTTTTAAGATACTTTCCTGTTTGGTTATTACTCAATACAATATAGTGGTTTCAGTACTCCTTATTGCCTAGAATAGTTAACCTGCTTTTTTTTCTTTTCCTTGAAGTATTTGGCATCAAAGATTCAACTGTTGTTTTCACCCTTCTGCATAGTTGATCAATGGAGACAAGGATTTTTGATATGAATTCTGTGGCTTTTCTTTCTAGCATTTTGGAACGAACAATCAGAGCAGCTGTGGAACAGCACCTTTTCGACCTGCAGAGCAGCTTAGATAATGATCTTAAACAAATACAGCAACACAGACTGGGCTGTAACAATGATGCAAAAAGTCCCAGCGGGGATGAGGAAGGATCTAACAACCAGTAAGACTTGTTTGTATTGGTGTTAAATTGTAGAGGATTGTATATTTTAGGTCTTCCAAACAAAACTACCCCATTGCCCCTCAACCAGAAGCAGAAGTTAGGACTTCTGTTATTAGCATAGAAATTTCAAAGAAATTTTTAAGTCAAATCAGCTTTCAACCTGCAGAAATAACAGACAGCTCTTGAAGCAAGTATTCTAAGTTGCTCTTATATTGCTACAAATTGCAAAGCATAGCTACTTTACTGCTGAATTCCATGCAAGTAGCAGAAGACTTTATTTGTCCCAGTCTTTATCTCATTTAATGTTACTTGTGACTCAGTTGTACCATATATGTTTATTGTAGGTGCCATTTCAGTTTCCTTACCATGCTGTTCCACATCAACATAGCTACTGTACTTCCATAGCTGGCAGTCAGTAAAACCGCTAACAGCAGATAGAATGAGCACTGTAGATGTATTTGTGCAGGACTTCAGTCTCATTTGATCAGTTTTTGTTACAGATCTTAGTGTTTATGGGTGTAGTGACTTCCAGGGCAGTACTGAGACGCTCTGACCTGCTGATGTTTTATTAAATATAAATAAATGATCACAGTTAATTCCGAACTCCAAAACGTGACATTAAGTAGGGCTTTGCAACATAAGTTCCTTAGGGTCAGAGCTTGAAATGGTGTGGAGTGTTCAGAGAGTCAAATGGTGTTTTCTATATCTGTTGTTTTTAGAAGTCTTTAGTCCAGATTCTTGTCAGAGATAAGTTAGTAAGAGATCATAAAGGTAGTAATCACTCCTCATAATGTTCAGTTGTTGTAAGTTGAATTTCAGGGTTACAGATCTAATTTCTTTGATATAAACTCCAAGTGGGTGAACATTCCCTCTTGCAGCTGAATCCATTAGTTATGGCATAAGTGTTTTAAGTCTGGCTGGCTTCACAGAAGCAGAGGCTAAAAGTACCATCACTGCAGGTCTGAAACCCAATATGCCCTTCTGGCACTGCCTCTACTTCAGATGCTTCTGTGTCGTTCCACTGTGGATTAACTGTAATAGATGATACATGATAGCATTCTTGAAAGAGGTCGTCCAGGTTCTTTAAAGCAGTACAGTCAACATATTGTGCAAAAGACAGATGCATAGCTAAATAAATAACTAAAAGCTGCCGTCCTCAGGAGTGGATTTCTTAGGTATAACAAAATAATTACAGGAATTAAAGAAAACGTAACTGAAGTGTAAAATTACAGACCATCCTGTTTGGTATCTAGAAATGCTTTTAAAGTAGTTTGGAGTTACCTGAGGGAGGAGAAGAAAGGCAGAAGTCAATGGCTTGCATGAATTATGGAATCATAGTGACAGACATGCTGACATATAAAGACTGTATGGACAAACAGGAATGGTGTAAGTTAGTTTTAACGTGGATGTGCTTTTACAAACCTTAAGTTGAATGCTAGGAATATAAAATGTTAGAAATAACGGGATTTATCTGTGAAGGGAGCACTTTGATACTAACTTAAATTAGCTGACTGCAGTGTTGAGAGGAGTGCAGTCAAGCAACTCCATCTAGTCAAGGTAGTTTTGGATAAATCCTTTCATATATCTACCACATGCTGTTGCAGAAAATCTCAAAAGTGTTTATAAGCTATATGAAGGTTGATTGAGGGCTGGAGAACAGGTTACTGATGTTTTACTGTTTGTTTCTTTAGGAATGATGTTATTGAAAATAATGACGTTGGTAGCAGTGAGAACACGGGAGACTGCTCTGAAGTATTGGTTAGCACAGATTTAGGCAGCGAAGATATGAAACGTGATACTGTAACTGAGGAGGAAGAAAGTGTTCAGGTGAGAGGAAGAGCTTCCTGTATATGGAAATTATGGCTTGCAGTGACTTCAGCAAAGTGCTTGTGGCATCAGTCTTCTTAATAGCTCTGATGCAGCTTCACATGGTTCAGTTGCTTTGCACAGTTCTATTCTGCTGTGCATGCTTTGAAGGCATGCAGAGAAATTTTTGTGTGCTTTGCTGCAACTTATTTCTGACTTCTCTCTCTTTTTGCAGGTACTGGCCCTTCCTTCTGCTGAAGTAAGTTAGTGCATCAACAAGCATAGCACTGGTTAGAATAGCATCTATTTTAATAAAGGCTTTGTGAGGAAAAGAGGGTCTAGGGCTGTGACAGTAACGTAGCCCACAGTATGAACTTCTGCTGTATTAAGCAGTGCTAGAATGTTAATATGAGAACTGTAACAGGAAGACATTGTTTTGTAATTGGCTGTTTCTCAGCCTTTTCTTTCTCCTCACAGTTTTTGTCTGTGAGAAGGATAAGTGTCCTCCTCTTTTCAGCATATCTTCATTTCCTGTCTGCTTGAAATAGGTTCTGTTACTTCTTGAACCTCTTTGCTTAGATGTTTGAATTCTGCTGAGCTGACAGCTCAACCCCCTCCATCCCACTGAGAGCTCTTGTACTTGTGGTGTTACACAAAAGAAAAAAGAAAATTAAACTTGTGGCCTCTTGAGAAGAAGGGTTCAATGTTTACCTGTCATCTTAAGAAGTATTGGGATTGACCATTTGTGTTCCTGTACAGAAAAATCTGTTTATCCTGTATGAACAGATAGTAGGATCTGATATTAGTAAAAAGAGAACATTTTATATGTTTTTAAAACTGTTTTGCTCAGAAAATGAAATGTTAATGATGACTGAAGTTGGTGTTAAAGTTGAGAAAGCAACTGTGTTCTTTCATGGATCTCAAATGACTCTGAATAACCTAACAAGTTGGCTTCCAGTCGCAGCTTTATCCTTGCATATTGCTTTAGAATCTATAGATCTAAATTTCAGTGCACTGTATTCTGTATCAGTGTTTTCAGTAAAAGAACACCTGAGAAATGTGAATGATACTTTTTAAGAAATGCATTCACTTCAGGGCTAAAAGAACATCACTGCAGTAAGAATGTGAAGGGAGAGCATGATGCTTGGGTGTTGCATAGGGGGTGCAGGAGAGTAAAGATGAGCTTCTGTACGTGAGCTTTGCTTTAGGTCTGACATGGAAAAAGGAACAGCTGATTCTACAGCTACAATAAATGTGATTCTCTATGGCAGAAAAGCTGTTATTAAGAAATTGTTGTCTTGAATTGGAATTTGGCTTGAGGAAATAACGTGGAGATGGAGCTGTGTGTGAGGAAGGGAAGTATGTTGCCATGTAAAATACTTGAATGCTACATGCATTTGAGCTCAGAGCAACTTAAAATATTATTTTCAGACATTTTAAAGATCAGCTGGGATTGCTTTCTAAAATCTGAAATAAAATGTAACATATTATTCAAGAGGGATATAAAACATTTTTCCAGTTACATTCTCCCAAAGATGGTGCTTCTCAAAGAAGGCAAATACTGGGCTTTGGCTTAAATATTTAAAGCAATCTTCTTGTGCCAACTTCTAGTGTACAAAATGGTGATGTTAATTAATCTGAACTTGTTCTGTGAGATGGTGCCATAAAAATGCCAGCATATCCTCATCCCCTTCTAGTTCTGCTGCTGTTTTATTTAATAACCGGGATGAGAAGTTCCTTCTAGGAAGTCTGTCAGACTTGTTTCATTTCATACAACACCGAGCCCAAATCTGCATCCCACTCAGTTCTCTCTGAGACTCAGAGTCGTGGCAGTAAGTATTTCCTGTCACCCCAAAACTCACGCTCTGACAATTTGCAGGGACAGTGTTGGTATCCACCTTAAGAAACAAAAACAACCAATCATGCTGAGTCTGAAGATAGAGATTTCACTGTTGGTCTTCTAGTGAGTAATGCACTGAATTGTTGACCTCACTTTAAATGTGGAAGTATTGCGTTGGTTAAACAGTGTGAGTTCCACACATGCATAGAAACTTGTGGTTTTCATTCTTGAGGGCTTTTTTGTGGTCCACAATTACAGAAATATTTTCAATCTTTCTAAATGTACTTTTTGCCAACAGCCTGCAGATGTGTTATTGAAACAATGTGATAAAGATGCAGATGTTGATGGAGAAAATAATAGTGAAAGGTAGGAATTTTTCATTTATCGCTTATGTGGCAGAATGTGTAATTTCTGAGAACGTAAGACAAACAAACAAGATTATTTCTTTAAAATATTTTGGCACAGTGTACCACTCAGCCATTTGGGAATTAATGCTGGTAACAGTAATTAGCCAGAAAATTTTAGGTTCATATGCAATTGAGTTCAGCACTGATTGGAGTGTTCAGTTTGAGCTCATTTGTTTCAAAATGTTTATTCCTTGTTTGAGCTGTGTCTGTTTCCAGGCTGTTTGAAGCCCAATTGCTTGTTTACATGTTTCAGTTGGAAACTGTGAAGAACAGGGGTGCCACCCCCAAACAACCTCACTTCTGCTCTCCAGAGTTCTAGTGATCACTTCAAGGAAATCAATTACATATCTGCTAAAAATGCATTCTGTATGTAAGAATGAAATGCATTTAAGATGATAACTGGATTTGTTGTTTTTTTTTTTAGGCAAAATAGTATTTTGATTGATGGCAATGATAGAATATCTTCAGAAATGTTTCTGGTAAGATGATAATTTCATTTATATATATAAATGCAGACATGCAAAAAAAATGCCAGTAAATGTAGCTCTTAGAAGTCTGTGTTGTTGGTTGTGTAGCCACAAGATCTGTAAGATCTGTCAGATCCCATTGTCTAGCTTTTTGGAAATTTTGGGCAACACAGCAAGCTTATGCTCATGCATCTTGTGTAAGAAATACTTTGTTTATGCCAGTAATTGGCTAATGCTGTGGGAGGGAAGAAGAAGCTTGTTTACGGTTCCTTATGAAACATGGGAGCACCTTACTTGAGTAAGGAAATAATTTTTTGTTTTTTAAAGAGCTTCCAGAAGTGCCAGGAGCAGCACTGAATACTGACCTGGTTTTCAGCTGCTAAATAAGAATGAATGAAATTGTTCTGTGCTGTTATTTGTAACAGGATTCAAGTACCAAAGCTTGTGATCTCAATGCAAATACTGATGCAGAGGTGTCAGGGGATGGTGACGTTTCTGTTCCTGAGGAAGCACTGAGTGTCCAAGTACCACGTTTAGATCTGAAGAATGCATCTGATGGAGACAAATGGGAAGGTAATTTTTGCCCTTTAATTCACAATATACTCAGCTAGTTAGAATAAATGAAATACCAGACTGCTTCTCCTACTTCGTAAAGTAACTTATCCACTTTCCCTTTAGCTTCATCTGAATATAACGTTCCTATATGACTTGGCCAATTTTACTGTGTACAGCATAGGTCTCCTCTTGTTGCAGATCTTTCTGCAACTTAGAAGGGACTTTAAAAAAAAGAAAAAAGCCAAAGAAAGCAAAAGAGTCTAAGCTTCATGCAAAATTGTTTATGTGTTTTTCAAGTGACTTAAAATGCTCTGGTCTCTCTCTCACATGAGTCCTCATAAAAATACTTTGATTTTTATGATGCAGTTGATATTCATGTTGAATTTTGTGATTATTTTTTTTTTCCAATCCAAGTTACTGAAGTTCACATGCTAGCTGAATTTGACACAAAATCACTGAACTACTAAGCATAGCCATTTACATTTGATTTAGTCTGAGAAGTCTGTTGGTTGCTTTGTCTTGAGCATCAGAAATGTCCAGTATTGGCTTCCTTGTCACTGGACAACTTGAAACAGCCTGAATTTTCAAGTACAAATTAACAATGAATATGATTTCAGGGAAAGCAAGAAGTACAAAATATAGTTTATGATCTTATTCTTTATGGCCTTCATGTGTAGCAACCTCCTGAACTTCTGACTTGATTGAATGTGGTTGCTCAAATATGTGGAAATGACTGCTTATGCTGTCCTACTTGTATAAGAGCATAACTTCTCTGTACTCTAACCACAGCAAAACACTCATTGATAATGTTAGCTACTTGTCTTCTTACATGTTCTTTAAACGCTGCTGTTCTCCTGTCATGAATCATCTGAATCATCAATCTGCACTTCACAAGAAAAGTCCACTTGTTAGTTTGATTAAATATTGCAAGCTGTCACCAGCAGGAGGATGACCCCCATCCACTCATTTTCGATGTGAAATGGTAGATTTAGTGCAGATTCACTACCCAGGGATTGTTTAACTTGAAGCAGGCGGTTCCAGTGACAGCTATTTTTTTGAGATGTGTTTAAATTGTCGTCATTAGGCATTAATAAGGCACTAGTAACAAAGAAAGAATGTGGTTACTTTTATCTTGTGCTAGAAATGTTAAACTTCATGAAGTAAACTACGTACCTTTGAGCTACGGCAGTGCAATGTGAAACTGCAGCATGCCAGCACACAAAGCTCCCAAAGCTCAAATAGTGGCAGCTTAAAATAACTGAATTTGTCACTGAAGTTGGCTGTTTTCCAAACGAATTCCCTGCATTAATCCATACTTTGTTTTTGACCCTTTAGAAATGATGATGTTTGTAATTTGATCCCTCACTTATGGTTGGGAAATACTTGCTTTATGTTGTCAGTATTTATTTACATCGCTTACTTGCATGTTGTGTTTTGTTACAGTCTCTGTGTTAACCTTCAGTACATGTTTAATACGTGTTCTCAGTACACTTGTGGATTCCATTCTCATTATTTCTCTAAATCTGTTCATAAAAGTTACTTTGGTATTGCTTATCCAAATACATGTATATCTTCAAAGAGAATGTAGGATATCTGAATAAATTTACATTAAATGATTCTCAGTAATAAAATCATGGTATTTTGCAAGATATGGTATTTGCATGTGGTGAAGTCTTCAGTTTTGGCTATTCTTCAGTCTTTTTTAGAATGGCTGTTGGGATCTCAGGCACTGCAAGTCCTTGTAGCATTCTGTTCAACTACATTGGCTTTGCAAAGAAATCTGCTAGCCCAAATCTTTCTAAAGGTTTGGATTATTAAATCCTATGTGATGGCACACTTAACGACTTGTAATCAATGGGAATCTTGAAAATGAGCATGAAACGCTTGCTGCCTTAATTGGGGGAAATGCAGATTGGTTAATCTGTGTTTGAGTGCATTTATTCTGCATTTGTCCTCTTTTTGAAAGTTACTGCCATCTCTTATTTACAAGCTATGGGCAGAACTACATGCAGAACTTGTCCTTTGTTACTGTGAAGATGCATGAGACTCTTATTAAAGGCAGTAAGTCTTTACTATTCCTGTGTCAGTTCTGTAAACCTTTCTGGTAAACAGTTCAAGCTTACAAAGGCCTGAGCATCCTTACCTGCCACTGCAATTGCCTGGCAGTTGAGAGTGTTCAGAGCCTGGCTCAAAAGACGGGGTTTTCTTCCCCTGGTACTGTATCTTCCTGCTTTACATGTTATGTATGGTTTGTTCTGACTGTGCTGTGTGTTCACTTTAGTATTTTTGCCATTCTTTTTCATTTTATTAGCGCCATGCCCTATCACTTTTCCCCTCATTGATTTCAAAACAATGCATCTGCAGAGAGAAGGGGAGGGTAAGTATGGTTCGCCATACATTCAGTTATCTGCCTTTTGATAGTTTATGGTTTGCTTTCTAACTAACCCTTCACCTGCTGTCCCTTATCTTGGGAATGTTCTGATTTGCAGTATTTTTTCCTCCTTAAGGGCCCCCTTCTTATGCCTTGTACTGCATAAGCGGGCAAGAGTCTAGCTTTAAAAAGAAAAGAAAAGAACAAAACCCACCAAAAAAACTCCCTGAGCAAAACCTCCACAATTCTTAGTGGATGCACTCTGGAAAGCAGGTACAAGGGTTCCCATTTATTTATTTTTCAAAGATTCCGTTGTGGGTTTTATTGTTGTTCTGCACACTTTGAACCCGGTTTTCAAGATTTCTGGTTTGGAAAATACTAAGCAAACTTCTGAAAGGGAAGGGGGAGATTTTCAACTGAAGTACTTGGAGGGCTTTCTCAGCTTTTTGTTAGATGGCAAGACGGCCGTGGTTGAGAATTGTAAGGGATCACAACCAACTTTTTAATAGGGTTATTAAAAATATATATATAGTAAATTGTTTTGGAATCCCCTGCCTGAAAGTCCCCTTCCACAAACTAAAAAATCTCTTTTTCTCAGTGATGTCAAGATGGATTTAAACTATACCTACATTAGAGATCAAACAGACAAACAACAGCAACAAAAAAAACAAAAACAATCGCACCAACACTCCTTTAAAAAGGCTGAGCAAGTGGAATTGTACCTGAAGAGGTGTTGTCAGGCTTGCCTCGTTCAAAGTCAAGAGGAGAATCTTTCAGAGCTCACATGGAACTTAATTTCCATAGCAATACTTGAAACAGGCAATAAGTGTGTTCTTCTAACGTAACATTTCTGATAAGTAAATAAGTAATGCTCTCTCACACTGTTGAACTGTTCAGAAATGCATACTCCTAAGAAACACTTTGAAAAAGGGATCCTAGTGTGCATACTTCATTTCAGTATGTTTTTCTTTCAATTGTTATATGACAGAATTTGTAGCTTTCTGATGTATTCCACTGTTTTTATTCACTTTGTGTATGACACTACATCCTTTATAGCATACAAGACTAAGTATCACGTAACAGTTGTTTCCTCTTGATTCTTCTTTATAGTTCTGTTAACAGACAAGTACCATTTTGTTTCCCTTTTTTATCTTACAGATCCATTTCCTGCTTTCAAATCTTGGCAGGAAGACAGTGAATCTGGAGAAGCTCAGCTTTCCCCACAGGCTGGCAGGATGACCAATCATCCGTTGGAGGAGGACTGTCACCCGATGTTGTCACACCGCAGTTTGGACTTTGGGCAAAGCCAGCGTTTCTTACATGATCCAGAAACATTGGATTCTTCATCCAAAGCACTTTCTTTTGTTAGGTATGTACTTCAGTGCAGTTTGGTGGGGGTTGTGGCAGTTACTTCTGGTATGAAAATTCAGCTGCTTAAAAACGTCAGAAGTTTTCTGTGGTATGACACAAACTGAAAACCAAGGTCAGATGTCTCGTTACACAGCCAGTTGGCAGTTTTGCACACCTGGGAATTGCCATCCTAGGTCAGACCAGACATTCATCTGGGATGGCTGTCTCTCCAAGTGGCCACTGGCAGATGCTGAGGGAAAGAATATAAAAGTAGGACAGATTTTCCCTGGCGTTCAGACTGGGCTTCTGGTAACCTGTTGTAATGACACTTCTTGGTCCAAAGCCATTATTTATATCCTTTGTTTACCAGGCTTTGCTGGATGCTGTGATATGGTTTTATGTAATTTTTTTTCCAATGGCACGAGTATCAACTTTCATGTTGTGTGATTTCCTGTTTGTTTTGTATATCCACTCCCAGTAAAGAGAGCATTGCAACAAAAACATGCAGTGATGAACTGGGAAGGGTCTTCATTTGGCCTTTGAAAAGCCTTCGTTCAGGAGGGTTAAGGGAAAGCATCAACTATTAAAAGGAGACAGGTGGGACAGCAGTACAGTGGAGTTGTAGGGTCCTTTAATGCAGGTTCTCTTGTTGCTGTAGAGGATCAAGCCAGTTGAACTCAGCGTTGTAATTATAGAAGCTGGAAGTTATTTGTGTGGACTTCCAAAGCTGTAAATAACCTGTGGCCTGTACTTCATAATACTGCTGATATGAAAAGCCATTTGAGAAAAATCACCATGATTATTAGAGAAGAAATAACCTCATAAAAATGAGAAGATTTGGAACAGGAAAGACCAACTTCAGAATTCCTAATTTTCTGTCACAGGTTTATTGATGCAAAAGATGCTTTCCCAAATGCTCTCCAGTTAGGGGCAGACTGCAGTTGATGAGTACTGTCAACATGATGTACGAGACTGACCCGTAGAAAAGTGCTGATTCTAATAGCTGTTCTCATTCTGAAACTAATAAGGATCTACACCAGCAGATAATTAGATTAGTATATCTTAGTAATATCTTGAATTATGTGGACGTCACTGGCTGCACCAAGAGGTATTTCAGGCACCTTGTGTAATGTGTGTGCTAGAAAATTCTTACAGTTGGTCTTGAAATGCAGAGTTTTCATAAGGCACAAATGTGAAGGAGCTAAGTGTAAAAGGTGATTCAAGACTGGAGTTGCGTGCTGCAGAAATGTATTTGGAAGTCAAACAGATCAGATGATGGATATTATTTCTTCTTTTTAAGATAAGCATTTATTGAGCTATCTAAGACAGATAAGTGGAGCTGCCTAATTACCAAGGATTGTTCAGTGGTAGCTTCTAGACTAGGCTGTGTTTTGTGCCAAATGTTTCAAGAAGTGCTGATAATCTTGTAATTTAGATAAGCAACTTAGCCACCAGAAAGATCTGAGCTGTTTTCATGACAATGTAATTGACAGTACTTGAATTTCAAATGGTGTTTTTCACCACAGAACTATTTCTGTTAGGGATAGTATTGAAGACAGGAGAAAATAACATCACATTTTGAAGGCAGCGGATGGTAGCGTTGTGATTGAGTATGTAAGAAGCTCTGACTGAAAGTCTGAAAAGAATATATTATGAACTGAAAAAGAAAACCAAAACGAGTTAGTCATCTGCTAGCCCAATGTTGTTTGCACTGGCTTAATTATTTGAAATTACATTTTAAAATGTTTTTAATACAGAACACGAAGAGCGTCCTTCAGCTCGAAAGATGACAAAAGGGAAGACAAGACGCCTTATCAGCTTGTCAAGAAACTACAGAAAAAAATAAAGCAATTTGAGGAACAGTTTGAGAAGGAGAAGAACAGTAAGGTAAGTTACTGCTGTTATTCAGGATAAATGGCTGTGTGGTGGAGCTAAGTCACTTCTTGTTTCGTCACTGAAGAACTCTGAGCTCACTTTGTTACATGCTGCTTTCTGCAAAAGTAGACGATGGCAGGATGAGGAAAACATGCCAAAGTACCTGGTGAGCAAATGTTGATGTTCAGTTGGACTGAAGGGATATTTGAAGCCAGTGGAAAAACAAAAGCATCTTTACCTCTCTCTGGATCAACTTCGGATGCCTTATTTCAAGTTTATTTTAACAAGTGTTCATTATGTTGGCTAGTCACCTTTGCTGCCATAAATATTGCCATGTATTTTATGAAATGTTTATAAATGATCTTCAACATGTTCATATAAAACTTTATATTACTTTTCAGCCCTCCTACAGTGATATTGCAGCCAATCCAAAAGTTTTAAAATGGATGACTGACCTTACTAAATTAAGAAAGCAAATAAAAGGTAAGGGATGCTGTGCTTCAGGTTGACAAAAACAAATTATATATATATGACTAAAATAGAAGTGATAACTCATTCAGCACAATTACACAGATCTTGTACAAATCTTTAACTTCTAGATTCTGATCTATTCCAAAAGCAAAATCAAACTTATTTTCGTGGCTTTGTTTTTAGAAGAGAAATCTTGCCTATGCAGACAGATGTGTTCCTTATTTTGCAGTTAAACAGAGGGAATTGGTTCTCTTAAACTTTCAGATTAAGCAGTTTTTCTGTTTTCAGATGCGAAGCAGAAGAGCTCAGATGGAGAATTCATACCTCAAACACGTCCACGAAGCAACACTCTACCAAAAAGCTTTGGTTCCTCTCTTGACCAAGAAGAAGAAGAAAATGGAGATGAGATGCGGGTCGTGCAGAAGGAGAAGAAGCCCACCAAGGAAGCTACACTTGAACTCATTTTGAAAAGATTAAAGGAAAAACGAGTTGAGAGATGTTTGCCAGAAGATATAAAAGTAAGCATAAGATTCTGGTGTCTGATTACAACATTGAGCAGCTTTAAATCTGATTAAGCTGGGATGTATGTATTAATTCATCTCAGGTTTTGGTGAAGTTGTGTTTATAGCTGATACAGTAAAAAAACAAAAAAGCTGCTGAAGTGACTTTTGATTAATATGAACAATTCTTCTAACAGAAAATGACAAAGGACCATTTGGTAGAAGAGAAAACATCTCTCCAGAAAAGTCTCCTGTATTATGAAAGTCAACATGGACGACCGGTAATTCCTCTTCTGCTTCATCGGCGATGCTAATGTGCACTTAGACTGTGGGATTTCTTGTGCAGGAGTAGTGATAATTATCAGTAATACCTGGGTTTTTTTTCCAAACAATGATCTGTTTCCATGTTGCCATCGAATGAAGCTACTGCATGAACTTGTGAAAATTAGGCTTTGTGTATTGATTCATTACACAGGCCCTTTCTCGCAGATCAGTGGGTCACTGGAGTTTGCAAAGTAATTTGTATAGGTTGGTGCCATTCTTGTCTGTGAAGCAGAGTAATCTTCTTTGTGTTATTTTTAAACAAAAATCACAAATACTATTGGATTTCCTAGGAAAAGGTCTGTCAGTTTACTATGGGTTTCACAAAACCAAAAATTGAGACACTTCTGAAGTAGGTGGTGGGAGGAACTAACTGGCAGCTAGCACCTAGAGTTCTGAGTTTTTAGTCATGGACAGTGATCAGCATTTGCTTGTCCAGTCAGAAGATGCTTCCAGCTAACGTTCTGTCAGTCTTCTGGACTTCATGCACCAACTCAGTAATCAGCACTACTGTATGCATCTGATCAAGCCTTTCAGTTATAAAAGCCCAGGAAGAAAAATGGCATTAGTGCTATTGGTACTGACCCTATGAGCCCCTTAGAGGAAAAAGTCAGTAACTGGTGATGATAACCTTCAAGTCTCATTGTTTTTAGTAAACATAATGGCCAAGAATTGAGCGTACAATCAGGTATCAGATGAAGCCTGTCTGCAATTTCATCTTTTTTTCCCCTGTCACTTCTGGAGAGTCATCGTCATTGCAAGTTATGCAGTCTTCTCCCCCAGCTCTTGGTGCCCTTTTCCCTATTTTCTACGGTCTTCAGAGGGCTTACTTCTACTTGAGCTCATCTAACATTTAAGAAATCTTAACTCAGTATTTTTCTAAAAGAAGTTTAAAGTGGAAAAATAAGAAGGAAATAAACATGTGCTTATTTCCTTTTCTTTCCATAAGCTCCATTGCATACACACAAATTAGTTTTATGTTCCTAATTGGAATGGATGTGGCCTGGCATGAGAAGCATAATGCTTTGTTTGCTTGCATATTATTCAGTGACTGGTATAATTAATTCTGTGGTTTCTCTGCCTTTAGGTCACTAGAGAAGAAAGACATATTGTGAAGCCACTTTATGACAGATACAGACTTGTAAAACAAATGTTAACTAGAGCAAGCATTACTCCTATTCTTGTGAGTAAAACATGCTATTTATATTTTTTCCCCTTTTGAACTGCTAGTATGGCTTCAGAAGAGCTCATAATAAAGCACGTCTTTCTTTTGGAAGGTATGAGATGGTGTTGTAGTTGAGACATTTGGTTTACTGCTGAGAACAGAGCAGTTCAAGGCTTTACCTTGACAGCTCTGAGGAAGTAAATAGTTCCCAGTGGAAGTAAACAAGTTGTTCTAGCTTTCTTTGGCTGAGTCCTTTGCAAGTCACTGTGCTCAGTACCAATCTGCAGTGTGTGTTGTATTGGTCTTCCAAAGAAGAGTAACGCCAGTTGTAATGAAGCTTGCCTCTCCTGTAGTGCAGAGGCAGGAGTGATAAGATGGCCATTAAAATCACTTCATTCATTTTTGTTTCCTTAGTGAGAATCATGTTATTGACACCTGCTTGCAGCATCTGTACATCATCTGCTCTTTCGTCATGTTTTCGCTTCATTTCCTCCTAGCTTGCTGTGCTTTTTCTTCCCTTTCTTTCCCATCTTGAAGAGATAAGGAAGAAAAGTTTTTCCTATTGTGCAAAATGACTGAATTAACCTTTCTTGTTGTGACCTATAAGGCAGCTGTGGAATGACAACCACCTAGCTCTTTTTGTTCTCTTGCATGCTGACTCAAACTTGGGATTTTGATATTAGCTACTGACCCGTTCAGAAGGAAGGGACTGCACACAGTCAGACAGTTCTCTATCAGATTTAAATAACTGGGCATGGCTTACTCAGCAGTAACTTAATCTGCAGTCTGTGACTCTCACTGTTCTTAACCAGCTCCTTAAGCTGAAGAACTGAGATAAAGAAATCAGTTCAAGATGACTCAAAATCCATATGGAAAAAGGAATAGCTGTTCTTATAGAAAAACACGATTTCAACTGTGGTCCCCTTTAAGTTTAAGGGCAGCTTGATGTCAGTATCCATTTCTGAATTCCATAAGCACAGAATTTGTTCTGATAACCTTAGCATTTCTCCATGCTGAGCCACAGTTTGGTTTTGGTGTCTTTGGTTGGGTTTTGCCTTATTTCTCATATCAGAAATCCAGCCCTTCAAATCATTTGAAGCCCTTCAAATGTATCATGTTGTCCATAGTCTTAGAAATGTTAGTCTTTTTTATTTAAGTGTGAAACAAAGTGATGGTCGATATTCAGCCAAAAGAATTTTAAATTCAGAAGAGATCTTGGTGACAACGTTCCTGTTCTTGCTGTAGACGATGGACAAAGTATTTCACAGGCTTCTGCTTTTGAAATGTGTGAGACAGATAAGTGGAGCTCTGTAATTACCAGGAATAGTTCAATGGTAGCTTGTAGGTAGGCTATATTTTATGCCAGGTATTTCATTAATTGCTTTTTAAATTACATGACATTTGCTTCCATGAGATATCTGTTAGGGTAGCAGGGGATATTAATCATATACACTGAAGCCTGCATGGAAATCAAGCAGCAGGAAGCTCCTTTCACTCGCAGAAGTTCTTTGACAGGTCACTGTCTATGTGTGTTCATGTTCTACCTTTCTCCTGTTCTAATAGTTCATCAGTTAAAAGTGCTTATCCTGTCCAGCCGTAAGAGATGAGCAGAGCATAATGGCATGTGTGTAACAGGCAGCTAACAACAGCACCTGTGCCTCACAGCAGCATGTGGATAGGCTGAAACTCAACAGATGCAGATAACTTTTAGGTAGCACAGCACTTGTTGGGCTTCAGAGTAGTCTGGAAAGAGAAACTGGCAGAATTATTCCTACCACATTCATGGCAGAAGATACAAAATGCCCTTACATAGCTTCATTTTTTGTAAATTAAGAGGAACAAGAGTGAATTCCAGAGATGTCTTTGAGCTTTATGAATTTTGTTCAGAACACATTGGGCAATTGCTTTTTATTGAAAGCTCAAAGAAGAGTATTAGAGTTTCAGTTCTTTTTACATGAATGATAAGCTGCAATATTTATTTCTGTTTCGGGCAACTGAGTTTTTGGATTTTAAGGCTGTTTTGTTTACGCTCTTTAAGTCTGTTTGTAGCCTTTTTTTGGAAGGGAGAAAACAGACCCTTAGGTCTTAGGTGACTTGAACAGAGTTCTGACCATGCACATCATTTCATGTCTATTTGCATATAATTAAAGAAGCTTGAAATATTGCAGGGTTCCCCATCAACCAAGAGGCGGGGGCAGATGTTACAGCCCATCATTGAAGGTGAAACTGCCCACTTTTTTGAAGAAATTAAGGTGCGTGCAATGCAGTCTTTAAAAATGCATCTCCCAGCCCTTGTAGGAGGGAAAGGGAGCGTGCTGTATTTGTTCTGAATTTCTGCTTTCTGTTTCAGGAAGAAGAGGAGGAAAGCGATGGTTTGTCTGCAGACCTGAATGATATCTTAAAGTCTGCTGTCCAGACACAGTCTGTTTTAAGCCCAGTTGAGAACTCGGAGTCCGATGTCGAAGATGGCCAAGAGAAACTGACCCGGGACCTTAGGCTGTCAAGCACCCGAGCTGCTTCTATGTGTGTATAAAATTGTGCCACAGAAGTTGCACTGATTGCACTTAGTCGTGATACCAACTGTGATGCTGGGTGGAAAGGAATGGCATGTTTGGGAGTTCTCAGGGGCTGTTTGGCTTGAGCAAACATTATTCCCTCTGACATTGTCTGAGTTCTTTTTGTATTCAGAGAATTGTTTAGTGTCTTCTGAATCTTCTTCAGCTTACTCAAGCTGTGTAGAGAGCAGAAAATGTACACCTTTTTATTAACTATTAGTTGTTTTTAGTATTTCACAGTCAGATACTGTTGTCCTTACAAGCAGGGTGAATTTAGTATTAGTCCAGCTAGCTCCGTTATTTTGAGTAAGTTTTGAAGAACCTAAATTCCATTGTATGGCCGATGGTCTTTTTCAGGCCTGAATTATTGGAGCAACTGTGGAAAGCCAGAGCTGAAAAGAAAAAGCTACGCAAGACATTACGAGAATTTGAAGAGGAGTTTTATCAGCAGAATGGAAGGTTGGTTCAGCACAAAAGCAGATGCCGGACAGCAGCTTCACTTCTATAGCCAGATGTTCCTTTAGCTTTTTATGAATTTTGCCAAGTGAGATATATCTGATCTTTCCTGCAGACAATCTCTTGACGGAGATAACATTGTGTGCTTGTAATAGTGGAGGAAACCTGCTGCGTAGTTTTGTTTCATCTGTTACTATTGCTGTTTATAACGATGAAAATGAAAGTAGTATCAAAGAGTTTTTCCAGGGTGCATCACCTCATAAACAAAAATAACATGTTAAGAAAAAGGCAATCACTTTCTGGACTCATTTCAATACACTTCTTATTGTTTTCTCATTTAACTAAAAACTCATGGATAATTAGTCATACATTAGTCATGGCTTTGTCAAATGTTTGCTGAATTTGAGACGTAACTCCTTTTGACTTTAATGGCCAGGGATGAAGTTAATAATGAATGGTTGCCTTAAAAATAAATCTTACTTATATAAGACTGATTTGAGACCAGTTCTCTGCTATCAATTTGTGTGTCAGTCTACATAGTGTGAAAGCTTAGATTCATTTAAATTGACTTGCATTTCTGTTTGATGTATAAACAGAACCTGAAATGAAAGCCTTCATATCCTGTTAATAAAAGCTCCAGAACTTAAGAGAATGGTTTTTTACCTGTGCTGGGTAAATGCTGCTGGACTATCAGTCTGGCTTTTTGGTGATGGCAGTTTTAACCACAAGGACCTAAAATGTGATGGTCTCTTGCTGATGAACCATTTGGCAGACCTTTCTCTTTCTCTCCTAAGATAACTGTGCAGTGTTTGATTTCCTGCATCGTGGAGGATTTTCCTGAAACTCACCTGTGTTTCTTTTTACAGGAATGTACAGAAAGAAGATCGGGTTCCAATGCTGGATGAGTACAGGGAGTACAAGAAGATCAAAGCCAAACTTAGGCTGTTAGAAGTCCTTATCAGCAAACAAGATTCTTCAAAATCCATTTAACTTAGGTTCCTCCAAACCACTGAACAACGTTTTGCTCATACTACCCTGTACTTACTGAGTGCTTATGTTCGTATCTCACGCGCTGTTGAAAGAATACAGTTTGCACTTTATTGTGGTGCCACTCTAAGTTGTTTGAAGGGTAAGTGGGTTCTGCCTAGAGAGCAAATGAGATCGGTACGCTTGAGACTGCGCTATCCAACTTTAGCAAACACAGTTTCCATCCATTTATTTTGTACTGGATGCATCCACCTTCTAAAACAACCATAGCATTTTGTTCTTTGGCATTTGAGAACTCCGAGCCTTTTATTACCAAACTTTTGCATTATAGAAGAAATTATTTATACTGTAATGCTATACTGAAGTACTCCTGTTGCCTATTTTATTGTAGGGGGGAGGGAGAAAAAGCAAATTAAAAATACATCTCTCTTTTCCTGGGAGGTTTAAAAGCCAACCTGCAATCCCTTCCAAAGAACTGCTGTGGAACAAGTTCAATTTCTGGTAATCTAAATTGCATCTATAACCATAATAATTAACATCTATGGGTTCTGCTTGTTAGTGGTCACATTTCCATCTGGATAAAGATGACAGTGGACAAAGGAGAAAGTGACCTTACTTAGTGTCTTTTAAAACTTGGGAAACTGAGAAGTTATATCACGTGCTGCCTACAGGACTTACATTACTGTCATAGGTCTTATTGGTTCTTGTTTATCAGCTAGTGGTGGCGTAGTGTTTTGTCTGAATTGGATACTGCATCTCCTCTTTCAGCAGATTTGAGGAACTTGATGCACGTTACAGTGTATGAGAAACGGGATGTTGCTCAGACTTGTGTAGCTCCAGCTGGAAAGTGCTGGCTTAGGTCAGTTAAAAAGCCTCAGTACCTGAAATGCATGCGCTATCAAGGGCTAAAATCAGCGTGTTGATGTGCACCACAGGGTGAACTGACAGCTTTGAGTGAAGAAATTACTGCTGTTTATCACGGTTTTGTTTTACAGTTGGAGAATAAATATCTAATCTTTACGATATAAGCAAAACAGTTTATGGGCCTTGCATGATTTAGCTTCAGAGTTGAAACTAAATAATGTTTTGAGTATCACATCTGCTGTGCTGAGTGATGATTTAGCTAGCTTTATGCTCTGCAGCAGCCCTCAGCAGCTGGTTTTGATCTGGCAAAATCTAAGTGTTAATTTTAATTGGTGCTTTCTCAGTTTTTTTTCTTCAGTGTATCAGTTTGATCGTGGCCATGTTCTGCATGCACCTACTCTCACTGCATGTTTTTATGGCTGGCTAATGGCAACATAGCTGTTATTCACACTGCTTTATGAAAGACCAAAAATGAACTTTCTCCAAGTAAAAAGTGGCGAGCATGTAACCTCATAGACTTGCTATTCTGTCATGAAGCATATGAAATAGATTGAAAGTAGCATTTTAGTGCTCAGGTTTCATCTGTGTACTGTAGAATACTTCCTGTTTTGTTTTATTCTGCTTGTAGACATGTAATTTTGGAATTGAGAAGAAAAGCACTAAAACTATTGAGCACTGGTGGTATGCCTTTTTTTGTAATGGCAAAATGGTGTGGGACCGTAGGGAATTGTGAGGTTCAACTAATCCTGAGACCATTGATCAACTTGATTCAGTTTCACTGTGCAATGTACACTTCAGTTCCTTTTCTATCAGTCTGCAGACACGGGTGTATCCAACATTGAAACTAATGTTACTGTATAGCGTTGTACATGAATGTTTGTGTTTTATATACCACATGCAGAATGTCAATATGCACTATTTAAATGTTTTAAATAATATATTCCTCCTTTATAATGCTTAAATCTATATGATTCCAATATTTTTATAAGTGAGTGAGTGACCAGACTGATTCCAATTCAGAATTAACAGCTGCTTTGTGTTTGTTATGCAGTGTTTGGCTGTTTATTCAGTATAGTAGATAAGCATGGCAACAGTTATGCTATGAGTGTGTTTTGTGCCATCCTTGTTGAGCAATAAATAAATGGTAGAATTAGGCATTTTGTGATATAACAGTTTTACTTTGGTAAAAGCAAAACCTATATATCTATATGGATATATAGATATGGAATATATATATAACTAAACCAGATGTAATTGCATTGCTATGTCTGGTGCTCATTGTATAGACTTTTATAATAAAAATACCTTAACCTTTATTGTCATATATCTTTGCTCCTCGTCATGCTTTTTTCCCCCTCTACCACCTCTTGAAAACAAGTGCTGAGTCCTTCAGGATTCTGGTTTGTGTTTGTAGTGTCTGTTGCTCAGAGTCACAGCCTGCCAGCAGAGCTACCGGCTCTGGTGCTGAGACAGCCCTTAATGAAGCTGCAGCAGCTTGAGCCTCATTTTACCTCCTTAGACTGTGCCTCTCAGCAGAGACAGCAGCCAAGGGACCACGTTGGCTCCTCGTCTCACTTTGGCACGTTGCAGTGGGGGCTGCAGGTCCTGCTAAATTGCCAGTCTGGGCTGCGATGGTACAGGGGCAAACTGCGAGTCCTGATCGTTTCTGTTCCTGCAGTCGCCACTTTGGGAGGTGTCTGGGCAGAAAGCTGATTAATTCACTGCCAGTGAATACAGCTGCAGCTGATGAGCAGAATGTGATTGTCTCTCACCTATAATAATCTCTAAGCCTCGAAATAAGCAGCGGGCGTAGCAGTTACTGCTGTGTTTGTGGCCAGCAAACGCTGTCATTGCACACACTTCTGGACAGGAGGATACTTCTTCTCTTGACAAATGGATTATTCATAGCATGGTGATGGCATGCTCAGATGGTGTTTGGATGTGTTTTATTCTGTTTTGTTTCTTCCTGTGGCTGAATCTCTCCAAAGAACAAATATGTGTAGCTACGTATGAGTGGATTAACAGCTGTGTATGGGTAGATCGTGGCTGGCTGGAAGGTAACAGCAGGTCTCTAAGGCAATGGGTATAAATGGAATAAAAAGAATTTTTCCTAGGAATTCAGGTTTGGAACACGATGCCCTCTAGCGGTTCCAGGCATTCAGAACTAAGACTTTTATTTTCTGAAAGATGAATTCTGCTTTGGAGGTGGGGGCGCTGGCGGTGATGGAAGTAATGGGTGCCTGAAAGAATGGCTGAGAAAGAAGCATTGCCATTGCTAGCAGTGTGTGAGCTAAAGAAAGTGGTCTTGGGGAGTCAGGGTTAATGAGCCACGTGTTGGACTGTTACTTGATAATTAAACGTTAGGTTGGGCCGCATAGCTAGAGACTGAGAGAGATGAACGGGGTTTGCTATCAGCTCTCTTGGTTACTAGAGCCTCTAGCTTGTATCATGGCTCACAGCAGCTCCAAAATGAGGCAGCTGGTTAAGAAATCTGTAGGGATATCTACTCAGAAGTCTGGTGAGAGCAAGGCTGAAGAACTATGTGAAACTCGCAGACCAGATTGTGAAATTACATTAGTAACTTTAATAACAGCTCTACTGTTTATACACCAATATAAACACATAAAAATTGTAAAGGTGTGGGGTTGTTCTTTCTTGACTTTGGATCTCAGCTGTATGAAGAAGGCCATCTCTGCTACCAGATGAGCTCGTCCATTTTACTGTGCTGTCTTGCCTGAAGCATCCTTCAGCTGTTGCATGCTTTTCATAATCCTACTGAGTTTTGCATTAGCGTTGTTTAATTCCTTCTCCAACTCAGATGTACGTCTGAGGAGCCTATGACAGACAAATACAGGAACAAACCCTTTTGATGGATTCCCTTAAACTTGTATTTGTAATCTTTGCGTTTGCTCGCTTATATTGTGTCTGCTGCCAAGGGCCTTCAGTCCTGAAGTACCCTGCCCAAGCACAAGGCTTCACAGTCTGTGTCACCCTCTTGGCAGCCATGAGGAAATGTTCCAGAAGAGAGATAATATTTTAAATTCTCACCTCAGTCCTGATTAACACCCTTAATAACTGCTCTACTAAATGTGTTTTCTTTCTCCACCTTCTTCCCTCTCCTAGGGGGGCTGTTGGCAGCGGTACAAGAACATCTGAAGTAATGTCTTAGGTTCACTGCCTTGGTGTTGCTCTCCTGTTTGTTCAGTTGTTGCTCTGTAGGAGTTTTAGCTCATTCGAGTCAGGGCTGATGCGAGCACCTGGGGATGGCAGTAAGGCATCAGGAGCAGCTTTTCACAACACTTACCGCTGAAATTCTTCAGGGAAGACAGAGCTCTGAGAAGCAGCGACGGAGTCGGAGTGATGAAGGCTCTCTTTCCCTTTCTGTAACTTTGGTGGCTTCGGATGCCTCTAATCAGCACCAGAGGATTGGGTTGGGAAGAAAAATCACAGTGACTTAATTGGACACTGTCACTCATGCAGGGAGGGGGATGTGCCTGAGCAGGAAAAGATCTATGCAGCCTGGGGGAGAAAAAGGTTCCCATAGGAAAACGGGTTTTCCTTCTGTCTCAAAATGACAGAATGCAAGAATACTTCTTTTCAGAAGTGAGAGGCTGCAGCCACTGCATGGAGCAGCACTTATAGCCAGCTGGGGGGCTTTTGCTTTCTATTGTAAAATTGATACGTATCATTTTAAAGATGTTTTGGAAGTGTTTGCACCAGTTAACTGCAGATATGGATCTACCAAGAACTGCTGGAAACCTTTTTGTAAAGCAAGTTGGAAATAGTTGTTGTGCTGCAAATGCAGCCTATGACCTAACAGACTGTTCAAAAACAGGTTTATTTTCCATAATTTGTTTTAGTTTAACATTTGGGCAAATGCCCACCTCACAACTTCCTACTACTGCTAAGACACACTGACCACAGCCTACAGCCATCTCTGCTCTTGTATTTCATGACTTTGTCCAGAGCCCAGACAAGCTTCCATTTGGGCCATAACTGGTGATTCTCATTTATTTACAGCTCTATCTTTTGCTATTTCTGTGATGTTAAAAATAGTATTCTGTGGAGAGAAAAGCTTTTGTAAGTAGAAGTGGGTACAACTGTGACACCTTTGGTATTAGTCAGCTTTTGAAATAGAAGCAGTTCCTAAGAATATAGGAAAAAATAAACCTTACCTTCTCATGAGCGCTGCCTCCTTTGGAAGGCTTGGAAATATCCTTTCCTTTAGTGGATGGAAATTCCTTGCTGCTTGTTCACACAAGTGAAAAAAGACAGAAGTCCTGTGAGAATACGCCTCTGCTTGGCACAGGAGCTAACAGCAAATACTTCAGCTTGGGTTGAGATCTTACCTTTCCAGGTTCTCATCTCCTAGATCTGTATCTGGTTTTCTCAATTTGAGCTTGACAAGGGCTTTATTGTAGCTCTGGACAAAGAATGTTGAGCATGTTAACTGGCTTGTGTTTACACAGAGACACTTCCTAAGGATCTGAGTGGAGTAACAAAGCTGCCTGGTGTGATGCTTTGGCAATCAAAAAGAAATCCCTAAGAGTCGGTCCTTACTTGGTTCCCTTGGCTCAGAGAACTCACTTTGCTACATCTTAAACTTGTCATTAAATCCTTAAAGTACTGTGCAGCCAAATCCAGTAAGGGTTTTGGTCTTCCAGCATATTCATTTTCATCTTTCTGTTGACTAGGATTAGGAGAATAAGCTCGGGTGGGGGAAACTAAACTCTACTTTTCTTTTAGTGATGATATCCCCACCAGAGAGCCAAGTGTAGGCTTTTAGTGTGGGGCCCCTTTGCTCCAGTTTCACTTGGCAATATCCCTAAACTTGCATGCAGAGAAGAACTTCAGTTTCTCATCTAGGAAGAATAGCTTTGAAAGAAGTTGATGTCAGGATATATCACAACTCAGGCTGGTCTGAAATGCTGTTTTTAAAAGGGTCAAGAAAAGGTAGCTTCCTGCACCCTACCTCGTGATATTTGAGTCAGTAATAATTATTAGGAGCTCCAGTGGGTTTAATGGAAGGATTTCTCTGTCAAACATTTGTTTAAAGTGAAACGACCACTGTTGGGTGTTCTGAAATGGTTGTGGCCTGGCTGCTTATGGCTCTGTGCTTGTGATGTAGCATAGAAATTCCCCTCTAAACATGATCTCATGGGGATAGTTACAAAAGCATTCACTTACCTGTCTGAAGAGGTCTGTGATGTGAAATTCTTGATTGGGAATCACTGCGAAGTCTGCTTTGACTTCCGAATAGGTGTCGTTTATAATCGCTAAGAACATGTTCTGTACAGGAAGGATGCAGTTAGATGCTTTTCTGGAAGCTGTTTATTATGCTAGGCTTATTGTTTTGGGGACTGTTGAATGCTAAGGAATGGAACTAATGGAATTGGAAGAGCTGTGTTGGGCGCAGATATGCTTCTAATGCATTTAAATTCCCTGAGAATCTCCTGTTTTGGGAGAGGATTTGCTCATTTCCCCTGTGCAGCATTGGCTAAAAGGCCCACCTCCCTGGAGTGACAGATTTCCTGCCATGTATTGTGCCTTTTTCAAGTGGTGTTTCGGACCTTAGCAATGAAAGCACCAATCCAGCTGGTCTAGAACTTGAAACTACGGAGTCCCACCAAAGTCTTTAAACTTTCCAGCTGACAAGGCTGAAACTTTGCACTTCTCAAGAGCTTCCAAGTAAGTTTTCAGAAGTTAAAATCTCAAGAAATCAATAGTGCAGTAGAAGGAAAGGTGCAATATGCTTGTTCCATGGTGCAAAAGCCCCTTTTCGGCTCTTTACAGGAAGGCAAAGCTGTGAAATGCCTTGCCAGCTTGTGCCAAAGAATCCAAGACTGTCTTACAGCCTAGGTATGCTGAAGGGCACACAGGGCAACTCGAGCAGTACAGGCAAAAGCGTCATCTTGGGGTAGGAAACACTGACTCGGAGCACTGCCCAACAAAAGGTAATCATTTTTTTTTCTCTACTGCTTACACAGAAGAATTTTTACCTACCAGCAAGACAAAGAACACAAAGAACACAAATGAGATGTAGTAAATAGGTCCAAGGATGCTGTTTACTTCGAGGCTTTCAAAATTAAAATCTCCCAGCACAATACGAAACTGTGAGAAACTGCCAGGAAAAAAAAAAACACAAAACAACACATAAGACTGAGGTTGACTGGTTTCCTTTAAAGTATTTTAGACATTACTTAAAATCAGAACAAAATAGTTGGATAGATGCAGTTGATTTCAGTGACTACAACAGTGGTGAATTAAGAGAAACCAGCATTACGCTGCAGTGGTGAAATGGACATTTAGCACACATTTGAGAGT